TCAGTGAGGGTCAGTGTCTGGGACAATGGGACCTCAGTGAGTGTCAGCATCTGGGGCAACTGTACTTCAGTGAGTGTCAGTATCTGGGACAACTGTACTTCACTGAGGGACAGTGTCTGGGGCAACTGTACCCCGGTGAGCGTCAGTGTCTGGGACAACTGTACCTCACTGAGGGACAGTGGGGCAACTGTCCCCCGGTGAGGGTCAGTGTCTGGGACAACTGTACCTCACTGAGGGTCAGTGTCTGGGGGAACTGTACCCTGGTGAGGGTCAGTGTCTGTGGAACCGTACCCCGGTGAGTGCCAATGTGGGCTAGGGAAAATGAAATGGTGAAGATAACCTGGAAGAGGAAGAGACACCTGTTTGGAGTACCGAATCGCCGCCTTGTTTGAAAATGAAAGGACAGAGCTGGGTGCTACACAAATCTCGGAAACAGACTGCCTCCTGGTCCTGTGATTGGGAGCACCTTCCTACACAGCGCTGCCCACTGCAGCTGAGAGAATACTTTCGGGGGAAAAACAAAGCAACAAAGATCCCTACTTTGGGAGAGTGGTGACTGTGAGGGTTTCCAGTGTGGCCCGGTATTACCACCCGCCTGCAAGTTTTCCGGTTTCAGTATAAATCCGGCAAAAGGCGCAGGGCTCCCACAGATCCCATCAATATGTGCACAGTGATTCCTATCTGAACCAAAATCCCCTGGCTTACCGCCATCCAGGAATTCAAAAAAAAACAAATAAATGACAGCAGCATTTTTAATGTGACTGCTACTTCCTGCTCTGGAAACCTTGTACTTTCTCTGGCGATTGGGTCTTGTTGTGAGAAAGAAATGCCTTAGGCTGGGGAAAAGTTGTGAAATTCGCGGTGAGAGAGGGAGCGAGAGCGAAACAGGCAGGCACAGGAAGATCCAACCCTCAGAAACATGATGTCACTGAATGAGCTCATTGCTACCATGTGACAGCTGTCATAAATAGCTCAGCTATCATGACTTTGTGTTAGCTTCATTAGAGTCTGCAAACTATTAGTGACAGACAGACAGACAGACAGACAGCAGGGAGGGCTACATTCTCAGAAAACTGATTGAAGCGAGGAGATTGTACTGCTGCCGGGGGTTTTACATGGAGCAGGTTGCTTTACTGATCAAACATAAACATTTTTATTTTTAGCATGAATCACAATTACAAGCGATGTCTTTTCTTCGGGAAAAAAAAGCAAAACAAAAGATCAAGTTCTTTTTGAATTGTAATCGAGTTTGATTTCTGTCACTAGGTGTATTCCTCCGGGAGTCTCAGTCATTTTCTGGACGGGTATAATGTGTGTAAAAGTAATTGGATGCGGTACGTAAATCCCGCACAATCGGCTGAAGAGCAGAATTTAGTCGCCTGTCAGAATGGCACCGATATTTACTTCTACACCGTGAAGCCAATCCCTCCCAGCAATGAGCTGCTGGTCTGGTACAGCCGGGAGTTTGCTGAGAGATTGAATTATCCTCCGACCCGGGACCTGGTGATGCTAAAACTCAGTGAGTCCTCCACACCTTTTACTGATTTGGTTTTCTGTTTTGGGAGGGGGTTGGTGGAGGCTGTTGGAAGATTTGATCAGTCTTGCTTCTAAGTTGAGCGATCGCCTGTGTGTACTTTTAACCTGACCCCACTTCTGTAACTATGCAAACTGCAGACCTAGGTATGATTTAGACCTGAAACATTTTATCCAGGCACCGTTGGGAATGTTGGCGATTGTAATATTTCCAGTTTACTGTGGTAGTTGTTAAAAGGCATACAAGACCACCGCCCCCCGCCCCCCCACGAAAGTTCTGATCCTCAATCCCAAATCACTCCCCACTTTCGCAGTCCTCACACTCCTTAGAACAGACAGAGGTGCCCGGGACGGGAATGGTGAGATATATTCCTTAGAATTAGATGCTTCTCTCTCTCTCTCTTCAACTAAATGCGTTGCTACTTCTCTCTTCTCTCCACCCCTTCAATCTTGGTCGTGTGGCTTATATTTTTTTTAATTCTCCGCTCGCTCCAATCAGTTTCTCTAGCCCGAACTTGACAGATGGAGCTTTAATAACAGCACGCTGCAATATTTTCAGCCAAGTATAAAAATGAAACCAGTAAGTTAGTGTGCTGAGATTGTGAGAAGTGTCCGAGAATGAGACACTGTAAGGATGTGCTGGTTAAAATGAGCAGCGGGCCGATTTTACCACTTTACAGTGAGCTACCCAGAGCATCCAGTCTATTCGGAGAGTGTGCGCGAAAACTGCTCATTTGTATTGCTCCTTATTTGATCGAATATTGCAGGCTTTACCAAGCACTGAGCTGTGTTCATCACTTCACCTGACGAAGCTGCAGCGCTTCGAAAGCTTGTGATTTCAAATAAACCTGTGGGACTAGAACAGACACCTCCACTTTATCAGCAGGTGGTGAGCATTTTGCATCCGGGATGGGAGCAGGGAATGGAACCCGAGCCTCTGTCATTTGGGGTACACGGGATACACATGCCTGGCTTCTACTCAGCGACCCCAAACCCCGCCATCCCTTCCATCCGGGAGGGATTCTGGCATCAGAATGAGACTGCCAGCAATGGTGCCAAGGCAGGGGCACTATCTACAAGTACTATCCGACCTTCAAGCACTCTCTGAAATCAGAATAAAGAGATGGGTTAGGGTTAGAATTAACCATTCATTGTAGACCCAGGCAGACCAGGTTAAGACCTGGTCATCCCCTTCTGTTCGTTTGCCCTCGAAATAGTTAGAACTAAAATATGGAATGTAGATTTTACAGGGAGAGAGTAGGGATTTGAAGCTTGCATTGTAACCCAATTCTAGTGATCACTCAGTGCAGGATGCAAGAAGGAGATTAGACTGCTTGATAATTTTTCCTTTTTAACTTGAGGTGTGATTGGTGGTGACAAGCTCTTCCTTTAAAAGCAATTATGTACATGTTCAAACAGCATTCATCTTGCACTTTTATCTGTTGACAGATTTATCCCTTTATAAAACATTTTAAAGATTTTATGAGGGGCAAGGCATTTTTTTTCTGTGATCAGAAGAGGTTTGCTGTTTAGGGACACTTCTGAAAATTTACAGAACAGGAACAGGTTACAGCCAACAATGAGGCTTTTCGGCCCGTGGTGCTTGTGCTGGTTCTCTGAAGGAGAAATTCACCAAGTTCCCGTTTCCCACCTTCTCCCCATGGAGTTGCTACACCCTCTTCCTTTTCATTTACTAATCTAACTTCCTCTCGAATACCTCGACTGAACTGTCCTCCACTATACTCTCAGGCAGTGCATTCAAGTTCCTAACGACTTGCTGCACTCTTCCACATCTCACCATTGTTTCTTTCGCCAGAGTCACGGAAGTGTTAGGTGCAAAAGGAGGCCATTCAGCCCATTTTCTCATCCTGGCTCTAGTGCCATCTAGTGCCATCTTGAATAATTTAATTGAAGCTGCCTCCACCACACTCCCAGACTGTGCACACCAAACCCAAACTGCTCACTGTATCTCCTGCTTCTTGATACTTCCAACAATACGAACAGTTGCCATGTCTATTTTGTCCAGACTCCTCCTGAATTCGAATCTCTCAGAAAATCTCATTTTGATCTTCTCTAAGAGAAGGAACTTCAAGGTCTCCAATCTAGCATTGGAATTGAATCCCCGGAGCCAGGCTCATCAATCTTATCTGCATCCCTTTCTATTGCTTCACAATTTCCCTAGCAGTTTGTGTCCCTCCCTGATTCCTCTTCCATTTATCCCTCCCACTTGCCTAGGTTTTTTTTGGAGAGAATTAACTTGAATCCCTTTATTTTAATATCATTGATCACCGTGCAACATTTTGAGCAGGTCTGAATACTGTGCTTCTGTTGTCTCTATCGGTAGTTGATATCCTGGAGAGGTTGGGGACACATTGACTTTCAGTCATTTTAGAACAGTTCATATAACGTTTCAACAGAATCTGTTTTTAAAACTGTTAGATGCAGGACTATCTGTTCTCACACCTACTTCCACCCTTTTTATATTTAGCTACAAAAAGTAACACATGTGAAACTTGTGAGCAGAAACTTTGATCCCAAAGCTATCAAATTCAAACTGGCTCAGTGAGAGTGAGTGTGACAGTATTGAGGGAAAGGGTGAGTAAGGTTGAGTGACTGAGAGCGAGGAAAGGTGTGTATGATTTACACTGCAAGAATGAAGGCGTGTGTGATGGCTGTGTATTTGTCATGTGTGTGTGTGTTTGGCTATTAGTGTGCATTAGCATGAGCATTTGTGTTGTGTCTGTGTCTGTGTCTGTGTCTGTGTGTGTGTGTATGTATCTGTGTCCCCAGAATATATTTGAAATATTTCATGGTTAAAATATTGCTTAGCTTCCTCTAGTTTTAATTTGCCTGGTTTTACCTCACCCTGTGGTCATTAGTCTATTACATCTCGGTGACTCCAACCCATGCAGCCTTCTCTTTATGATATCAGTTTGTTGAGTTGGCGCCTTTCTGTTGCCGGTTGAGTAACAAGCAACAATTCTCTTTTGTCTTGAAATGTGGTTTGACAAGTGTTTGCCCTGCTAAACAGGTTTCTATTACATGTTACAGCCACAAATTGAAAAATTAATTTGTCCTCACACTCCCCACTCTCCCTACCTTGGGCTGTTAGTAAGTCTGAGCTCCCCCTCTCAGTAATTTACTCTCTTATTAGTCATCACAAACTGATTTAACAATGGCCAGTTTGGCTTTGTCCCTACAGCTTGCAGCAATTTAGAGAGGGAGAAAGCAAATAAGGTGCCTGTTTCAAATCATTGACAGCATACACATGTAGATGTTGGTAGGGGAGGGGAGATTGTGAAGAATTATACTCCGTTATGTGCTTCCACCTACCAAAGCTCTAAAGATATATTAGTATTGAATGTTCTTATTTCTGCTGCTCATATTCTGCCTCTTGCAAAGTTTTGCGCACCCATGATTCTCTGTCCACCAACCTACATTGGCGCCTGGTGTTCCAGTAGCACAACTTAATAATTCTAATTCTTGTTTGTAAATTCCTCCATGGCTCTCAGCCCATGCTTATCTACGTGCCTCTTCCAGTTAAACAACCTTCTGAAATCTCCACATTCCTGCAAGTTTGGCTCATCTGCATCCCTTCCCTCCACCATTGGTGATTGTGTCTTTCGTTGCCTAAGCTATAATCTCTGGAATTTCCTCCCCATCCTTTCTGTATCTTTACCCTTATCCCTTAAGGCATTATTTAGTATATATATCATCGACCACGCTTTGTCACCTTCTTTCAATGTCTCCTTATGTGGCTCAATATCAAATTATGAGTGATAACTAAAATGTGAAGCATTTTGGATGATTTGCTATATTAAAGTTGCTATGTAAATCTAAGTTGTTGTCCAGACTTGCACGACAATAATATTCCATTGAATGAAATGTTGAGTGCATTTATACTCTGGTGCACATGAGCACCTGTACCAATATATTCCTGTATCCTGTACCTCAGTAAGATTCAATTCCCATCAAAGCAGAATGAGGGGAACTGGATAACTAAACAGAGTTCTGGAAGAAAAAGGTGCTCCTTGCACATTCTAAGGAGGTGAATCTTGGAGTACTGTGTTTTCAGTGCAGAAATTGATCCTTTCCAGTAATATAGTCCTTCTCCCTCCTGCCGCTGTCCCCAGTTTCACTACATTCAAAGTGAAACAGAAAGCAGCGCTGAATGTCAGTGAGTCGTGTCCATATCACTGTAGAATCCAAAAACAATTTGAGGTTTTAATTGACTCAAATAGCGCCTTCAGTTATTTAACGGCAGAATATCTCAATGAGGGAAATCAGTGCTAAGGTTGGCTCGAAAGGGCTGAACCCATGATGACCTCTGGCACATGTGGGCTTGTGTTTCTGGAGTTGGTGTCAGTTGGTGTAAACTGTCTGTGACTAGTGTTGTTCAGATATTAGCACAGGGCAGAGGCGTAATGAAGTGAATTGACCTTTTTTCTTTAAAAAAAAGAGCCAAATTTTAAATTCATTCCTCATCCCCAAACTGTGTGACTGAGCCCTGTCTCGAATTACATCAGTGTAAAATTTCTTCAGTTCCTCCATCAATTATACTAACGTGATCACTAGAAGAGGTTCTTAATTCATGGTCACTTTTATGCAATGTGCTAGTTCTTACTTAGAACTGTTGGTCACTGCCTGCTCCCATTCCATCCTGAATTCATCATGTAAAAGACTTGCATTAATGGAGCACCTTTCACTGCCTTGGGACACCAAAAGCACTTTAAACCCAATGAAGTATTTCTAAAGTGTGAACACCCATCGTAGGAAATGCAGAAATCAAATTATGCATGGCAAGGTGCTACAACAACATTGAGGTTAATGTTCAGAGAACCTGTCTTTTGTGATGTTGTTTGGTGGATGAATTTTCGCCTGTAACTAGAGGGAGCCTGCCTACTGCTGTTTGAAAGAGAGTACATTTTACATCCATCTCGGCTCGCACGTGGGGCCTCTAATTAATGTCACATCAAAAATATTTTGTAGAATCCTTTCAGACATAAGACAGGAGAAGAAATTTAACTCAGCAATCTGAGTCAGATTTGATGCCAAGCTTTAGAATTACGCACATGTCTGCCTTGTTACCCAACATGCCCCAGATCATATTTTATTTATATTGTTTTCAATAAAAGCATTATCTTTATAAAACAAGATAGAAATTAATTAGTTCTGAACTAGCAGGCAGTTACTGAAAGTTCATAAATAGCGAAGAGCATACAAGATTGACTCTCGCTTTGAGAAAACAGTGACTCATGTTTAAGGTGAACGTGGCAAGTTGAAAATAATCCCGCACATTGACTGACGCAGCAACATCTATTTATACAACATCTTTAGTGTAGTAAACCATCTGAATGTGCTTCTTCGGACTATTTTCAGACAAGACCTGACATTTAAGCCACACAAGGAGATAATAGAACAGGTGACCAAAAGCTTGGTTAAGGAGACAGGTTTTAAGGAGCACCTTAAATGCAGTAGGAGAGGTAGGAAGACAACTCCACAGCTAAGGGCTAATGCAGCTGAAGGCACAGTCACCAGTAGTGGAGTGATGAAAATTGGGCATTTGCAAGTGTCCAGAATTAGAGGAATGAAGACAATCATAGTACTGGAGAAGGTTACTGGTATAGAGAGAGAGGAAGGTCATTGAGGGTTTTGAAGATTAGGAACAGAATTGTAACATTGAAGCATTTCTGGATGGGGAGTCAGTGCATTTTGAGAAACACATGGAAGTAGGTGAATGGAATTGGGGTCAAATTAGGATACACAGTTGCATAACCTATGACAGGGTGTGATAGACTTTTCAAACATACTGCCCTCTCCAGCGCTGAAGGCATTTTTTTTTTTGGAACTGCATCTGTAGTTCTGTAGCATTCCAATCTCAACTGAACTGCAGCCCAGAGTTGGTTGACTTGCAATGCCTGATCTGCTCACGTCATTCCTGCTTTGACAAGCTTCAGAAAGAATGAATCTCGTGCCAGGGCGGTGTATAGAAACTCAGCTGATTCAGACACAGGTGCTTCATTCCATTTTCATTCAGAGGCTCTGTTGTCGGCCTGATGCAGAGATCTGTTCAGAGGATCAGGGTCTCACTGAGGCATCAAGGTTGTTTGACCACAATCAAGAAGCTTTCAGGAAATATTGAACTGTGTGTAACACAAACAGTGAAATAATGGAAAGGCTACCCAATTACCCGTTACCCAGCTGCGGTCTACCTGACTGATATTTCTGATATCCACAATTCAAAATGATGAAGGGTGTTTGATAGAGTAAGTAGCAAGAAATAGTTTCCACTGACACAAAATTCAATCATTAGAGGACACAGATTTAAGATCATTGTGGCAAAAGGATCAAAGGGAGCGAACAGGTGATTTTATTCCCCTCCCAAGCAGTGAGTTAGGATGATCCAGAATGCACTGTCTGAAAGGGCAGTGGGAACACACCAAATATCTTTTAAAAATGGAAAATGCATACAGTAACTACTTGAAGGAGAGAAAATAGCAGGGTCCTAGAGAAAAGTCTGAGGGACTGAGTCTAATTGAATAGTTCCACAGGCGCAAAGAACTGAATAGCCCTGTTTGTTGTATGATCCCATCATTCTCTGTAAGCTTAGCTTTGCAGATTGCTATACTCTTATTTTGAATGATCCCCTCAATAAGGTGACCAACCACAACGAGTGACAGCAACCGTCCTCTTCCATTAGCCCGCACAGGAGTAATCCTGGCCTGATTCAGTGCTACCACGGATTTATATTCCAGAACTCCACTCACACGGCCCGTTCAATCCCTGAAGAGAAATTTTTACCCCTGAGACTGTCGCACAGATTTGAAAACAATGTACCAGCACATGGCCTTACAGATTAATTCAGTACAGGAAGTGTTCTAATTCATCTGATAATTATCTGAGATAGATTGATTCCTTGTTAAAAATTGCCTCGCTGAACCTGTTCAAGTAAAATATTTCAGACTGAATAAAAGTTGTAGCTGTCACACTCTTGTCGGTTGAAAGTGCGGGGGATTGAGATTTAATGACTCAGTATAATTGGTTTCTCTCTCACTTCTCTCTTGTTTCTGTGTTAAAACTATCTATGTCAGTATTTTTTAAGGCATCAGGCTCATTGACTTCAGTCACTGAATTCCACGCAGTTGCAATATATGATTCAGCACAATTCAGAATGACTGTGATCTGTCCACAGTTAGTCAGCCCCTTACACCAAGACCCCACCCACCTGAAGCTCTTCAGAAATGATTCTGCCAGTGAAAGAGGAAGCTCTGGTTCACTGTGTCTTGCCTCAACTTGCCTCCTATCTGGAGGCTCATCTTTGGTCACAGATCAAAGTGCGGTTAATCTCTCTCTTTGGTGCAAAGCAGCAGTAACAAACAGAAATACTTTTAGAGTTGTAGAGTCATACAGCACGGAAACGGACCCTTCGGCCCAACCAGTCCATGCCGAGCAAATTCCCAAACTAGACTAGTCTCCCCTGTTTGTGCTTGGCCCATATTTCTCCAAACATTTTTTATTCATGCACTTATTCAAATGTCTTTTAAATGTTGTAACTGTACCTGCATCTGCCACTTCGTCTGGAAGGTCATTCCACATACGAATCACTCTCTGTGTAAAAAAAAAAGTTGCCCTCATGTCTTTTTTAAATCTCTCTCCTCACCTTAAAAATATGTCCCCTAGTGTTGAAATGCCTAACCATAGGGAAAAGATACCTGCTATTCACCTAATCAATACCCCTTATGATTTCATAAACCTTTATAAAGCCACCCCTCAACCTCCTACACTCCAGTGAAAAGAAATCCCAGCCTATCCAGCATCTACTTATAACTCAAATCCTCTATTCCCAGCAACATCCTGGTAAATCTTTTCTGAACCCTGTACAGGTTAAATAACATCCTTCCTATAGCAGGGTCGCTAGAACTGCACACAGTACTCCAGAAGAGGCCTCACCAATGTCCTGTACAGCCTCAACATGATGTCCCCACTCCTATACTCAAAGGTCTGAGCAGTGAAGGCAAGCATGCTAAATGCCTTCTTAACCACCCTGTTTACATGGGATTTGAGGAGTTTGATCATATTTTACCTCCTGAGTGAAGTGACTGAAGATCTTTGAATTCCTAACTGGCCTTCCCCAACCCCACTGCCACCCACCATCTTCTGATGAAGCTGACTTCTAGATGTGCTCCTGCTCTGCCGATGTCATTCATCCGTGATTCTACATATTAAGTTTTGGAAAGATATTCCAACCCTTGCTCACATAGCCCTGTCAGCCTTGGTACAAACATAACTGAGGAGTGGGGTTTGAACTTCCAACCTCAGCAGCAAGAGTGAACTAGGAACCATATGACCGAGAATGGCAAAATATATTAACGGAAGAAAAATTGTACCCATCAAGCTCGTCTGTGCAAAGGGGAGGTTTTAATGACCCAGGATAATTAAGAAAAAACAATTTCCCTCATGTGTTTGCATTGAAACCACGAGTTTCTGATTTTTAGCCACCGATCTTACTCCCTTTAATCACTGGAAATAATACCAAAAAAACACTGTAAATCCTACAGTGCAGGACCACATCAAGGTTGAAAATAACCACAAATTGTTAAGTTCTTCAAGTTTGCTTTGCAAACATCTCAAATTACTTTACAGCCCTCTGAGAGTGCAGTCATTGTTTTCTTGTAGCAGGTGCAGTCATCTATTTATGCACAGCAAAATCCCACAAGTAACAATGTGACAATGATCAGGTCATTTGTTCTTCTGATTTTGGTTGAGGGGATGAACTTTTGGTTGGGACTCCAGAAGAACACCCCAATCCTCTTTCAGTAGTACCAGGGGGTCTTTTAAGGGTGGCGCGGTGGCTCAGTAGTTAGCACTGCTGCCTCACAGTGCCAGGGACCCGGGTTCGATTCCACCCTTGGGTGACTGTCTGTGTGGAGTTCGCACATTCTCCCTGTGTCTGTGTGGGTTTCCTCCGGGTGCTCCAGTTTCCTCCCACAGTCGAAAGATGTGGAGGCTAGGTGGATTGGCCATGCTAAATTGCCCGTGGTGTTCAAGGATGTGTAGATTAGGTGGGTTAAAGGGGGATGGGTCTGGGTGGGATGCTCTGTGTGTCGGTGTGGACTTGTTGGGCCGAAGGGCCTGTTTCCACACTGTAGTGATGATATGATATGATATCATGATATGATAAGTCCAGTTGGGAGGGCAGTCAGGGCCTTGGTATAGCATCTTATCTGACAGTTAGCACCTTTGACAGTGCAGCATTCCCTTACAACTATGGTAAAGCTAAACAATGTGTTCAAGTCTTTGGAGTAGAACTTGAAGCCAGAACTTACTGACACAGGCTCGGAGTTATCACTGAACCATGGTTATGTTCTACAACCTTCACATGGTTTCATTTAATCATAATCTTCAGCAACTTCTCTCCTTGATGTCCTGTTTCAACTTTGGTAGTATTGTGGCACTGTGATCTTTATCTTTCTTCCCATCTCCCTCCACTTGTCAATACTAATTCTGCTTACTCTTCCCAAGGTTAACCATATGGCTTTTCTTTCTAGAACATAATCTCAAGGGATACAAGGATCTGGTGTCTGAATTCACTGGCCAGCTACCTCAGAACCGAGAAGACATACAAGAAGGCCAAAAACAGTATGCTAACGACACAAAGAATGAGGAAGAAAAGGTGGATGTGGAGATAATTGACAGAGATACGCCACCCATCACTCCTGATGACGAAATTGCGGATTTCAGTAAAAAGTTTTATCCAGGTGTAGAGACCAGACATCTACCAGAAGAAAATAGCTCAAAGATAAATGATGTTAATGACAAGGAAAGGTCATTGGAGAGAACCAGCCCTTTATACAGAACCAGTCCAAACCAAAGATCAAAAAGTCCTGTTGTTGAACAAAGCCCTCAGATTTTGTCTCTCAATTCAACTACCTCATCTCAGAAAGAACTCCCTCTACATTTGAATGGATGTCACAGTCATGCCGAGGGCCTGGTCTCTTACCCAATGTACTCACCTCCAAGTCATGTCCAGCAACAGTATATGTATCCATATAGCACGCTGTCTCCTCACTACCCTCGATTAATATTGCCCAACTATTCACCTGCTTTCAACAGTTTTCACACGCTGAACAGTCCAGGCACTTTGAACAATGTGAACAATCTTAGCCTGTTTGGCAGGATGGCCCCAGTCTGTGGCAGTTTTGTGAATGGAGACTATCTGCCTCATCCCATGATGAGCCAGCCTGTTCTGCCGGTCACACTGTCTAATGAAGAAGGCCAAAGGCTTCATGTCCCTGAGCAGCCAAGGCGCCTCCTTATCCCTGCCCCGACCAGTGCTTTCTCACCCACAGGTCCAGCAATGGACCTGAAGGAAAGTCCTCATGACCATTCACCACCATCCGGTACCTCAATAACCTCTGAGCTGTCGATGCCACTAAAAACTACCTCCTGGATTCCAGCAAGCGAGGAAGCGATAAATCTGAGCAAACCAAAGATTTCTCTGGCAGATTCCCCTGGTTATAAATCACTTCCATACCCACTGAAGAAACAGAATGGGAAGATCAAGTATGAGTGCAACGTGTGTTCAAAGACCTTCGGTCAGCTATCGAACCTAAAAGTAAGTATTTCTTACAACGTATTTACAAAAGAGACAGTGATCTCAAGCTCTGACCTCTCTTGAGAGTTAGCAGTAGTGAATGTTCAGTTTGTTCCCTCCGTGTTAGCACTGGTAGGATTAACTAGGACCATGTAACTCCTTCCATGGAGTGCATTACTGCTCCTTCCCTCTCCTGAGAAAGATAAAATCTGTAAAAAAATCTTTCAAAATAGTCTGAAGATAAATTACTAATATTTGAGAAAACTAGGTTGCAGCATCCCAAAAATTGTTGTGGCCAGCGAGTTAGTATCTGTTGTTTTGCATAACCTTTAGTGGAGTAATGCAGCATTGGGAGTAACGTGACATTGGGAGTAATGCAGTGCTGACAGTAATACAACACTCGGATGAATACAGTGCAAGGGTTATACAGTGCTTAGATTAATCTGGTGTTCATAGTCAATGCAGTTTTCACAGTAACACTTCGCTTTAAAGATGAAAATGGAATTTTGCTCATTGAAAACCTTGAACAAAAATTGGTTTGGTAAACATTTGTTGGTGATGGTGGTTTATGGCCTGATTTCTTTAACCCAAATCAAGGGGCATCATTGTCCATGGACAGAATATTTTGCCATTTAATTCCCAACAGCCTTGTCCACAACTATAAGCACAATCCATGTTCCATTGAAACACTCTCTCAATCCTCGTGCTCAGCGATTAGAGCTATGCTCAGATTTTCTGGAGTTCTCTTGTCTCTGCAACCTGTCTGTCTTAAAAGCCTAAATTTTAGCTAATACGGTTCAGTAATGAGAGATTGTGATGAAGGTTCACCTGAAATTCTCTGTTAGTCTGTCCCAGCTCGTGATTTGCCATTATGTGACTTATTGACCAAATATAACTGAAGGACAACATAATTACAGGGCTATAGGAAAGATGTTTATTTGACTATCTGTTTCAAAGACCCTGAACAGAGATAATGAGCTAAACCAAATAAAAGCAAGATACTGCAGATGCTGAAAATCTGAAAGAAAAATATAAAATGCTGGAGAAACTAAGCAGGTCAGGCATTATTTGTGAAGAGAGAAAAATCAGGGTTAATGTTTCAAATCTGATATGATTCTATTTTAAAACTCATGTGCCAAATAGCTTATGTCTATGACTTATGATTCTATGAAATGTCAAAACTTAACATGAAACTGTCCCCAGTGCAGTGAACTCATTGCGCTCAACAGAAATCAGCGACTGCACTTCATCTGGACAATGGTTATATTATGAACCAATTGATCCAGAGAATGATCTTTGATTACCCTCTGAGCTGGCCTCATTGGAAATAGAAATTTGCAATAATACTGACCTTGTCAACAATGCCCACATCTTGAGAATGCATTTAAAATATGTTGCTGTGTCTTTTTAAAGTATTATTGCTTGGCAAAGTATTTCTGACACAGTAGGTCTTGAGTAATCTGATACTTAGCCAATCAGGAGGCACATTCCTTACTTCTCAACTTAAAGATGATATAACTGAAATGACTTGAAATTCAAAAGTTCATTATAATTAATCTCAGCCTGCACAGTGACTCACACGGACTCTGTTTATGGGTCAGAGGTACATTGATTAAATAATTTCAATGTGAAAGGATTGAAACTGCAACAAAAAATAACAAGGGAGTGCTGCACTGTCAGAGGTGTCACTTCTCAGATGTTGTGTTAAGCTGTCTGTTCTCTCAGTGGTGATGTAAAAGATCTCATAGAGCTATGTTAAAGCAAAGTGATAAGCTCTGCTCAGTGTCTTGGACAATATTTATCTCTCAACCAACGTCAGTGATTGGCTGATGTGTTTCTTCCATTTGACAATGAAGTACTTTATTGGCTCTAGAGCACTTGGGAATGTCCTGAGGATTTGAAAGGGACTGTATAAATTCACGGTCTTTCTTTCTTCAAGTGACATTTGCCAAATAGCTTTTTTTGGATGAGGAGCTACGATGACATAAAAGACTTTAGCCTGTGACAGTACAGAAACTGTGAAAGAGTGAATCACTGTCTCATAAAGATGATGACTACCCATCTCTGATGTGGGTAGCGCCAATGCAATTTTGATGGACTATGGAACTCAGTCACCAGCTTGTAGTATAATTCATGACGGTTTCTTGCAGGTCCACCTGAGGGTCCACAGTGGAGAGAGACCTTTCTCATGCCACACGTGCAATAAGACATTTACACAACTTGCTCATCTCCAGAAGCATTATCTGGTGCACACCGGAGAAAAGCCTCATCAGTGCCAGGTAAGATGCCAATAGTTGGTCCAGGGTGATTGAAACAATGGAATTCTCAATGATGAAGAATGACTGACTGGGACCATTGTTCTGACTGCTGAATGCAAAGTGACAGCTGAGCACCACTGTGTTACCCTCCATTGCTAAACATTTTCTGTACACTCGGGGTGGGGGAGGAGACCCGTGAAGGAATTTGTCCAAGTCCGGTATAGACAAGTGCTTGGACACCTAACGAAATGGGCTGGCAAACTTAGCAGTGCCCATTGTTGGCCCCAGACCACCTGCATTGCTAAATTGTCAGTATAATGCCTGTGTTATGCCCATTGTACACCCAAGCACATACCAGATTCTACACCACATAGTCAAAGTTCTCATTTAAGTGAATTGCCAGAACATAGCTGGTGCCTGGGGATCCCATAAACCCAACACAGGTCCGTGGCTTCAGAGGAGGGCAGAAAAGGTAAGAAAATAAACGTCTATAAAATGCAGGACATTAACACCATGAAACTTGAAACAGAAAGCTGAACACAAAATGCTTAACATTAAAATCTTAGCTTCTCTATTTTTGACCTATCACTGTCAGTGGGAATGGAGCAGCTTTGGGTTGAATCCCAACTTTGTCTAAATTTCCTCTCTTTGTCTTTGTCAACTGAGGCAGGTATGGATGTGGGGTTAGTGCAGGATGTCATCCCTAGATTTTACACATAAACAGCCTCTGTTTCCAAAGAGCCAGGAATAATCACTGGAAATGATAATCTAAGAAATTAATTGCCTGACTCCTTTGTGTTTTATCTATCATGTGTGTACTGACCCAGTTAGCCTGACTGTCTTTTCCATCTTGCCCTGTACTAGGTGTGTCACAAACGTTTCAGTAGCACCAGTAACTTGAAGACTCACCTCCGTCTCCACTCTGGGGAAAAGCCCTATCAGTGCAAGCAGTGTTCGGCAAAATTCACCCAGTTTGTTCACCTCAAGCTGCACAGACGCCTGCACAACAAGGAACGGCAACACAGGTGTCACTTCTGCTCCAAGAGCTACATCCACCAGTGCAGCCTGAAAATCCACCTGAAAGGCAATTGCTCTATGGCCTCGGTGAGCAGCTTGTCCAAGGAGGAACTCCTCAGGATTGACAATGTGATTGATAACTTCGACATGAGTGAACGTGCAGAAAGATTGGATGAGAGCGCCACTGCAACAGAGGTGGAAGTGGTAACTGAGCAGCTTCTAGCTGCTGGCCTAGAGAAGGGCTACAAAGAGGACCCATTCAAAGCAACATGTCACAAGAGCAATGGAGACAACCTTCCATCCATTGGCTTCCATGAGAGGACCAAAAATCTAATGTTATTCCACCATAGTTCACCACCTCGTCTGCCTGTCAGGGTCAAGCAAGAAGCCAGTTTATAATTGCACATTAGTTATCATGTGCCAGGACTAATATGATGAGTTCTTCAGTAAACAGGGTTAACCACTGGAGCACATATGACATAGCTGACTGTTTTGGGAAACTACAAGAAAAAAATCATGGCAGTGAGGAAATTGAATCACACAAATTTTTGTGTGTGATTTACGTACTTCCAGTCATAATATAGTGTTTATATGTATCTGTGTGCATGTATGTTTGTTTTAGTTTAGTTGTCCTCTTGTTATGTTATAGAATCTGGTAAATTGTGAATCCATTCTCTTGTCCTTGTGAGTTCCTATTGATTCAGTCAGACCAAAAAAATTACCCAAACACACGGCCTTTACTGGGTCTGGATGACATATAGACCCAGCCTCTGCTGTAATAGTTCTGCTTTCAATGCTGTCTCAGGGTGTGTTAGATATATTTATGCAACAGAAAATGGTATATATTTTTATTAGTTAAGAGACAATCAGATATGAGTTTATTCTTCTAAGGTCTATATCTTATTTATTAAGACACAAAGCATTGCTTTTATTTTAAATAAAGTTCACAGTGACTAAAATGTGGGATAATTGATTGATATCTGTGATGCTAGTAATAAGAAAATTGAATTATTTCAAAACCCAATGTGACAAATAGGCATCAGAAGAACAAATTGTTTTCAGGCCTTGATATTCCTACCTGTCAATTTTGAGTTTATCCAATGGTCCCGTTTACTCTCAGTCTGAATATTTGTGTGAGATAACATAGAAACAGTCAAGTGTAACACTGTGTTATTAGCCAAGCTTGCATGGGCTGAGAAGACTGAAGGTTCTATAAATGGAAGTGATTGGATCCTTCTGAATTCAGCCAGCAAATTACATGCAGTCTTACAGATTGAACTCTTGCAGTTTAGTTGTGAGGGTGAAGTTCAAAAGTGGGGTGAGATATTATTAAATTAATTCCTTTCCCACCAAGTATCAAGAAATTTCTCTTTGGTTTGGGACTGGAGAATTCACAGTGTGTGGTGTGTGTAGAAGGTAGTGAGGATAGATTGCTGCTGGAAGAGGAAAGTATTTTGATGGCAAATCCTTCATCCTCCAGTGTTTGAACAGCAGATTTGTTTCATATTTGTGGGTTTTTTTTTGTTAATTGCCTCCTATTCAGCTCATTCATTCACATTCTGACCATTCTGCAATGAATGATTCAGGTTTCCTATGATATCTTCAAAAAAATATGCGTACCAATAGAAACACAAAATTGCTCCAACTCTAAATCTTTATGTCCCTTTTGGTCCTCCGGTGTTCTGCTCCCACCACTATATTATGCACTTCTCTGCCTTTACAGGGGCTGGACATGAGACAGAGCTTCTTCTCAATAAGCACTTGCAAGCTGCCAGTCACCACTAAAACTGGCAAAATAAAACTAATTGCATTCCTTATCTTTATAAAATCGCCGTCAAAGCAGGGCATATTATGGTACACGGCCTGTGTTTTTACATAGGGTGTTGTGAAGTTTGCATTAGTGTTAGAGCTAACTACGCTTAAACTGAGTGTGTATCAGATAGAAGGGGCAGGGATTGGAATAGCATCCACCCTTTTAAAGCCAAAATCTGCTGAAACCACCTAACTGTATGACAAGAATTTCAACAAAGGTTTCTTTATTCTTCTGACGTACTTTATAGCTGGCTGAATGATGTCAAATCAAAATGGATTCAGAAGCAACAAGACTAAAAATACACACATTGTTTTTCAGATGCGTATACAAATGCCAAAAAAACAGACCTTTGAGGCTTAGACTTGGAATAATGTGGTTTAACCAAGTCCTAGAGTGGCTAAGTAGAGCATAAGTTTTTTAACCTGTTACTAGTTATTGTGAGTAGGTAACCAGTAAAGATTGCTCAGGGCAAGATACTTTTTTGAAAATAAAGACTGTAAAGAAATTGCTACTTTTGACAATTAGAAGTTAGTTTTCGTAAAAAAAAAATAGAAAAATTCAACACATCTTCACGGAAAAATCCAATAGTCATGCGCTGTGCTTTAAACCTGACTCTTGCAGCCTGACAAAGGGATTCCATTTCTCAATTTTACTGTTTGCTTTGAGAGCATGAATTTATATTTTGTCTTTTACATTGGATTTAGATTTGAATGTTTGAGTGTTGTTTCCATGGAAACCACTAGTGGAATGCTGTCGCCCAAACACAAGGGAGCAATCATCCAATGGACATTATAATTGAACAGTTGTGTCCAAATTCATCTTTGATTCTGTCAAGCTACAGGAAAAGTATACATCTCCCAGCTTTACTTTTATAGGTTTCCCTGTTAACCGTAATTTCTGTGATTACTATTAGCCATATGTCTACTCTGGTTAAAAAGTATGCTGCAATTTTTTTCCAATTTCAGGGGAGTTAACATGTGGTTTTCTTGGCTACTCATGGTTTAAAAGTAATGTCCATGGCTCCTCTGAATCTCATGATTTCACAAGATTTTTGATGGGCGGCATCCATAACTCTGATAGACCCATGGCTTCAGTGGTTTCCATGGCAAAATGAAAGCCCTGGCAATATGTAAACCAAAGCAGTACTTTTCTTCAACTGGGTCCACTTGAAACATTCCTTTTTGATGTATTTGTTTACTAAAGGTGCAGTGAATTCACTTAAATATATCATGAACCTCCTTGACTCTTTTCCAGCAATCCATTATACTGTGAAATATGCTGCCACATGGGCTTATGCTGAACTTGATGTGTGTTTACAATGTACCATTGACCCTTTGCAGTATGGAATTCCAAACCATTCAGCACTGGGTTCAAAGAGCAAAGATCAGGGATCTTAAAGAATCTCAATATAGGGGCTTTAATTCAAATATCTTCAGATTGTTAGTGGTGAACAATTGGACTATTTTAAAATAAGGAGCACAATAGTCTGAAAAGGCTGTTTTGTGAAGTGCTGCTCTTTTGATTTGAGCTGTTCCACACATTGCACACATGGTATAGGAACAGGAGTATGCTACACAGATCCACCCCCACCATCACCAGTACCTCCTTCCGCCCCACCTCACACACACAAAATTAATTATTAATGATCTCCAGCCTTTCCTTGACTAAATGTGACTCAGGTTTAAGATTTTAAGAAAAATCCGTCTGATTAATCAGATTGTTCAGTTTCTACCTCTACCCTTATCTTTATTTCTTCAGTGTTCTTCCAGAACTAGCTCAGGGCTATCAAGTCATACGGTTCAGTGCCAACTTATGTCACTAGAGTTAGCTGTTATCTTTAAGAAGCTGGGGGACAGTTGGTTTGTGATGCAGAGTGATGCTAACAATGTGGGTTCAATTCCAGCACTAGTTGAGGTCACCATGAAGATTGCCGTCTCAACCTGTGCCCTCGCCTGAGACATGGCGACCCTCAGGTTAAACTCACTGCCTGTTATCTCTCTCTAATGAGAGTGGGACTATGGTGACTTAACCTTTACCTTTAAACAGACATCCAACAGCAGTAAGGAGATGATCTCATGTGGTATGAGCAGGCCCAAGCCTGCCCCTGTATTATTATCTGCTGATTGATGTTCCACAGCAGCTAGTGGCTCCCTTCGCACAAGTACAACTAGGACAGAATCTTAGGAGACATCAGAATGAATCTGCTGTCTGCTTTGTGGAGCATTTCCTGTGACTACTTCCTCTTCAGGCAAACACTTTTTGTAATTATTTTCACAGCATCTTTGAAAGATTCAGTCACAAGCCAATCTTTTAAAAAATAAAATATCTTTAATTCCTTCACTTGCACTGTCCAAAAACTCAAGCAATCATTGGCTTAAAGTGAGTAAAGAAAAAACCCAGAGGACCATGTGCCAGAATCATGACCAGAGCAGCAAGGTGACAAATCCATATGGGATAGGTATCTGCAGGAACAACGGTAATATTCAGCCAGTGTCAGGCAATCAATTATGTATCCCTTTACTCCATAAATAAGTCTAATTTTTTATCACACTTAAATCCCAAATCAGTTAAAAAGGCCTCATGTTTAGAAGCAGGAACGAATATAATGTCACTTCTTCCATACAAAGCTTTAGCTTGTAGTCAAGTGTAGAAATTATATTTCACTGCTATTTGGATTACCACTAAATATTGCAACAATGAACACCTATGTAGGTATTGATGACAGCACTGGTGGTAACTTCTTTTCTATGATCTATGTACCCAAATAACTAGCTTGCAGTTATAAAGAATCAACAGGCATTGCAGCAGTAGGAACATTAGTATTGGCATTTTCATTCTAGATTAAAGGACATTAAAGACTCCCCCAAAGAAAATGACAATTGTCAGCATGGACATGGACAGCAGTGACAAACCTAAAGCCAATTGATCAACAAATAAGCAACTCTCCCCCAAAGACACTGAGGAAGTTTACACTGAGTCACTGCACCTCTATCTCTTCCTCTCAAGAAAACCAAATGTTGTTGGATAAGTATCTGGGGTCAACAGATGGAAATCAGGCTGTTCTTAGTTGAGATGTTCAACTTCCTTTAACTTGAATCAAACAGCAGGTCAAAAATGTTACAGGGACAGAATGACATACATATTTGCACCAAAGTTACAGGATAGTTCTTTTTTGCAACTTCACTTACTTTGGGTATCAAATGAAGTGTTTTGTACAGAAAGACCTTTTGTAAAATTATGTTTACATGTGGTTTACATTTTATTTATGTTAAATTTCTCATATGTAGCTGTGACTTAAATTAAACATGTTCATTTCTACATCTTCATGAAGTGATGTATTTTTGTCTCTATCTTTGCTTCCACAAAGTTTTCTGCCCCTCTCCTTCAGGTCCTGATCCCACGGTCACCATCATAAAATGACTAATGTGTGTAAAATGACTACTCTTGGGTTGAGTGCAGGATAAGTGTTAGCCATGACATTTGGGGGATCTCTGTTTCTTTTCAAATACTGCCATGGGATGTTTATGTCCACTGTACTGGTGCAGGTACCATCATTTGAATAAGATATCAACTTGAGGCTTTGTCTACCTCAGATGGAGAAGGTATTGTTACTATGTGAGTCCATTACTGAACAAATAAGAGAATTGAAAAGGACCTCCAAAAGCCAACAGGTAGCCCTGGAAATAAAACAAAAACAGCCCTGAGGAGGCTTCAGAAAAAATGCTTATGATCTCTAGTGCAGACACAGCATAGAATTCATTCACAAGGCTGGGAAAGAACAAATTAGTAGGCGAAGAGAGCACTCGGCTCTCACTGCACATTCTGCAAAAAAGAAAGCTTTTCATTAAGAGCTTTAATTTGGCCAAGGAGGTTTCAGTCCGTTCCATATATAACAACCTACTCTGAATACTCTGCTCACATTTCACAGCAATAACAAATTCCCCTGATACAGCTGAGACAATCCATCACATTCTAAAAACAACTCACTTTAAAAAAAGTCCTATTGCTCAATGTTAATAGATCTTTTAAAAATTTCCAGGATCTAGATCTGCAGCTTCGCCAAAAATAATCCCTGAGTGTTACCCTATGTACACAACAGGTTTCATTGAAATCCATCCATTAGTTTTTATTGAGTACTGTTTACAAATAGACAAACTGGGTGAAAAGGCAGAGGTAAAAAGATGTTCAAGTGCCTGAATTGGTTTCCCACCAGATCCACTGGGCTTCTACTTCCACTTGCCTCAGAACCTGTTCTGGGGAAAGCCAGAAGAGGCTGGGGCAGCTGTCAGGATCCCAGTGTGATGTCGATTCCAGGGCTTTTAACTTCCCGCATGTTCTGAAACCTGCCACTACTTAAAACCCTTCTCATTTTTTCCATATCCTAGTCCCTGTCTCTAATATAGTCTGAGTGCTCCCTCTCGAACCTAGTCCTTATCTCCATCTCAATCCCTGTTTCTATCACATCCCATGATCTATCCCAATCCCTGTGTCTAGCCCACTCTGTATACCATCCCTGTTTTAATCCCAGTTTCTGTTTCTACCCCAATCCCCATTCCTATCCTGATCTTTGTTTTTATCCCAATCACTGTGTTGGTTGTCTTTTTTCCTGCTCCATTTTAGTGTATATGAAACGTGTGTAATTTATATCGTCATCACAGTGTGGAAACAGGTCCTCGGCCCAACAAGTCCACACCGACCCTCACAGCATCCCCCTAAAACCCACCTAATCAACACACCCCTGAACACTAGGGGTAATTTAGCATGGCTAATCCACCTAGTCTGCACATCTTTGGACTGTGGGAGGAAACTGGAGCATCCGGAGGAAACCCACACAGACACTGGGAGAATGTGCAAACTCCACACAGATAGCTGCCTGAGGCTGGAATCGAACCCGGGTTCCTGGTGCTGTGAGACAGCAGTACTAACCACCATGCCACCCTATATATAATTGTGCTTTAGAGGTATCTCACTAACATTAATTGTCTGTTGTGAGTTACAGTGCTGATTTCCTGTTTCTCTTCCCCCACCATTTGTGAATAAACAGGAACTAGATAATTCTGGTGACATCAAAGCCGTATCATAGGTTAGAAGTCAAAAATAGATTGAATTGCTGAGTTTGCAAGTTCAGTCTCAAATCCTGGTAAATCTATCCAATACTCAATGCCATCATCAAGTTATCCATGTATGTCATGCCACAGTGTGGGGCAGTTAGTTTTGAAATAGAAAGTTGAATAGTCAAAATAAGTTAACTTTTGAATGTTATACTTTGGTTTGCAAAGTCGTGTGAATATGGCTCAAAATATCAATTTCTCTGAGACAGCATTAGAAAGGGCAGGGCAAGGTTTCCCACAGCAGGGGTCAGGACGCCATGAGGAGTTGCAAGCTAATGTCTGAGGTCACCAGCTCTAAAGAAACATCGGATTTGCCCCTTCATGATCTCAGTTCCCCAGTTCCTACCATGAAGTTGTGACAACTTTTATGCCCTGAAATGGAGTCAAAAAGAAAATAAGTTTGGGAAGTGCTGGGGTAAGGCCCCCTTGTAAATTATACAGTTTCGAATGGCAGGAGTGATGCACAACCAAGCGTAGAGTCATAGAGTCATTCAGCATAGAAACAGACCCTTTGGTCCAACTTGTCCATTCTGATCAGGTTTCCTAAACTGCACTAGTCCTATTTGCCTGCTTGGCCCATATCCCTCTAAACCCTTCCAAACCCTGTACCCGTCAAAATGTTTTTTAAATGTTGTAATTGTACCAGCCTCTACCACTTCCTCTGGCAGTTCATTCCATACACACACCAATCTCTGTGTGAAAAAGTTGCCCTTCAGGTCCCTTTCAAATCTTTCCCCTCTCACCTTAAACCTATGCCCTCTAGTTTTATATTCCCCTACCCTGGTGAAAAGACCTTGGCCATTCACCTTATCTGGGGCAGCACGGAGGCTCCATGGTTAGCACTGCTGCCTCACAGCACCAGGGACCCGGGTTCAATTCCAGCCTTGGGCGACTGTCTGTGTGGAATTTGCCCATTCTCCCTGTGTCTGTGTGCGTTTCCTTCAGGTGCTCTGGTTTCCTCCCACAGTCCAAAGGTGTGCAGGCTAGGTGGATTGGCCATGCTAAATTGCCCATAGTGTTCAGGGAGGTGTAGATTAGGTGGGTTATAGGGGGATGGGTCTGGATGGGATGCTCTGAGGTTTGGTGTGGACTTGTTGGGCCAAATGGCCTGTTTCCACACTATAGGGATTCTATGATCTATGTCCCTCATGATTTTATAAGCCTCTATAAGGTCACTGCTCAGACCCCCAAGCTCCAGGGTAAAAAGGTCCCAGGCTATCCAGCTTCTCCTTATAACTGACATTTTCCAGTCTTGGTAACATCCTTTTAATCTTTTCTGCACCCATTCCAGTTTAATAACATGCTTCCTATAGTAGGGCAACCAGAACTCTACCTCCAAAAGTAACCTCATCGGTTAGATGCAGGCTAAAGCTGGCCTGTCTAATACTCCCATGGTAGAGTTATGGTATGGATTAGATTCAGGACAAAGATCCCTCTACTCTGTCCCATCAAACACTCCCAGGATTGGTACAGCAGGGGGAAAGGTAGCTCAGTTGGATGGACAGCTGGTTTAGGATGCAGAGGGATGGTATCAGAGTGGGTTCAATTCCTGCACTACCTGGGGTTATCACAAAGAACATTCCTTCTCTACTTTCCTCTCACCTGAAGCATGGTGACCCTCAGGTTAAGCCACTACCAGCTCTCTCTCTCTGTCTGTCTGATGAGAGCAGCTCTATGGCCTGGTAGGATTGTGGAGACTACTTTACAATACAGCCTAGATTCAAGATTAATCTCCCTCTACACTCCCAGGGCTGGTAACAGTGTGGTTTAAATTCAGGCTAAAGCTCCTTTTGCATTGTCTAATCAAAAACTGCCAGTTTAGATGCTCTAACCTGTATTACCAAACTGACTCTACACTGCCCCAGTAAACATTCTCAGAGCATATGCAGCATTTGAGTACAGGGTAAAATTTCTTCTGTACTGTCCTAAACAAAATCCCATCCTGGTTAAATCTAGAATAAAGCTTCCTCTACAGTTGTTGCTGCTGCAATTTTTGTTGACGATGCCATTGTTTTGCTGCTGCGGTTGTGGTAAGAACTGTTGTTGTTAATGCAGCTCTTTTTGGTCCTCTTCTGGTGAAAGTTGTTGTCACTGCCTTATCCTCAAGGCAAGGACCTGGTGACCAGGGCTCAGGGTAGGGCCCACATTCTGGAGACCTCACATATTTGTCAGTAACTGCTGTCTTGGCAGCACAAGGCTGTCTGTTGTGTTCGGTGCTGGCATAGGCAAAACGCAGCCATGTTTTTAGGATGCTTCATCAGAAAAGGGGGAGGGGAAGGGGGTTCTGAAATAAATAGGGAGAGAGTGGGAGGCGGATAGAAGATGGATAGAGGAGAGGGTAGGTGGAGGGGAAACAAACAGGTCGAAAAGGGGGGGATGGAGCCAGTAAAGGTGAGTGTAGGTGGGGAGTTAGGGAGGGGATAGGTCAGTCCAGGGAGGATGGACAGGTCAAGGGGGCGGGATGAGGTTAGTCGGTAGGAGATGGAGGTGGGGCTTGAGGTGGGAGGAGGGGATAGGTGGGAGGAAGAACAGGTTAGGGAGGCAGGGACGAGCTGGACTGGTTTTGGGATGCGGTAGGGGGAGGGGAGATTTTGAAACTTGTGAAATCCACATTGATACCATTGGGCTGCAGGGTTCCCAAGCGGAATATGAGTTGCTGTTCCTGCAACCTTCGGGTGGCATCGTTGTGGCACTGCAGGAGGCCCAGGATGGACATGTCGTCTGAGGAATGGGAGGGGGGGTTGAAATGGTTCGCGACTGGGAGGTGCAGTTGTTTATTGCAAACCGAGCGTAGGTGTTCTGCAAAGCGGTCCCCGAGCCTCCGCTTGGTTTCCCCGATGTAGAGGAAGCCACACTGGGTACAGCGGATGCAGTATACCCCTCTCAGTGGTCGAGAACGCCCTCAACTGTGTTTCCCACATCTCCCGCAACTCATCCCTCACACCCCGTCCACGCAATAAGAACCAAAAAAGAATCCCCCTCGTCCTCACGTACCACCCCACCAACCTCCGGATCCAACGCATCATCCTCCGACACTTCCGCCATCTGCAATCCGACCCCACCACCAAAGACATCTTTCCCTCCCCACCTTTATCTGCTTTCCGGAGGGACAACTCTCTCCGTGACTCCCTTGTCCGCTCCACACTCCCCTCCAGCTCCACCACACCCGGCACTTTTCCCTGCAACCGCAGGAAGTGCTACACCTGC